TAGCTCTCTACCTACCTTGCATCCAAACATCAGAGATATGGTGTTGTTGGTGCATGCTACTTTGCAGTGGCACAACATGTGGCTAACGTTAGCTAGCTGGTCCCAGACTTGGGGGGCATCCTAGCCTTCATACACACATTTCACACTCACACACCTCCACACACTCACACAGACACATGCACACATGCACACGCATGTGTTCTATCTACCGCGCTCCATCCTGTCCCACAATCCCCCACTCTGCTGCCCTCCCACCCCCTGCCCACCCCCCACCGCCTGACTACGGTCCTCAGCTGTGGCAGGCCAGCGTCCTCTCCCTCACGCTCTTCATCGCTCCCATCATCTTCATCAGTGTAATCCTCATAGCTGGTCAGGATGCAGGGAGCACCATGGTCACTGTCTGCCCGTGTGTCAGCAAATGTATGTATGTGAGTGTGTCAGAAAATGTTAGCACGTGTGTGTGTGTGTGTGTATGTGTGTCTGTGAGTGTGTTTTCAGTATGTTGTTATTGTCAGCATGTGTGGGTCAGTCTGTCTGTGTGTGTGCATGAAAGGTCAGTAAACAAGCAAATGAATAACTACACATGACAAATATTAGGGAAATCGCTTTATGTTTCCATATTTTGAAAGAAATATATGTTTTGGAATATAATAATAAAAATCTTATTCTAAATTTTATCAAATCACCAAATATTGCAAGAGTGTAATTCTCACTGTAGCGTTTATGACATATGCAAATACTGTGCACGTATACGTATTTGGAAGACTGCACCTGAAAGATGGAAGCTTTACTACAACAACACAGTTTTTCTAAAATCTCAGAAACATCATACTAACCGTGCAACTTTCTTCTTCTCCTCGGGATACACTCAGTTTTCACCCTGTCCAGATTTACTCCCAGAGGACAAAACTACAGCTCTTATTGCACCCACACTCGTGTTGACTCGGGCTCCTTCTCTAAAGCTCCAGTCTAACAGTTGTCTCCTGGCCTCCCTCTATCTAGCAGGCTGTCATACTGAGGTGATCTAATAGGACAGAAGTGAAGTCCATACACTTTATTATGGCCTAACTGCTGAACTGTACAAAAGCAAGCCAAGCATGCACACACACAAATACTTTCAAAGACCAATGCTGCTACTGCATCTTCTTGAATCGCAGTAGCGTATATCTCTTTGTGAAATAAACTGCCTCAAAGTTTTTCACATTCAAATAACACCAAGACTAAAACTATCATGACTGATAATTTTCTTCCCCTGTGTCTCAAACCCCTTTCTCAAGATCAGGTCTACTTTTCACTGTGCTATTTAGGCAAGTGTACAGACCCATTTATGAAGCCATTTTTGGGTTTGCTGCGTGTTTAATGACTATTCAAAGATGCAGCACAGTCTACTAACACTTCCACCACATCAAAGCACTGCTCCTGAAGCGCTTGGGTGGAGCTTTAATATTTCATATGTTGATTTTCCACTCAACTGTTTCAGAGTACTTGGTAAGACTATGATTGCCAATTTTAGCCCAAGCTTATTCGTTTAGCACAGGTTAGTGTTATGTAACTAACAACAAAGTATAATGGTGACAAATGTATTCATTTAATAATGGATTACAAATGAACTCTGAAGCCTTTCACATTCAAAAAGGAATGAACTAAAACATTGTAGCAATAGCTAGAATACAGCTCTACTGACAAACAAAAGAAGGGACACATAACATTGTCTAAGTATTTTCAGCCTTGCAGGTGTGTGAGGCTGTCCCAGCATGCACCATGGAAAATACAGGATGTTCCCTCGCAGTGCAAGAGGGTTATTATATGCTTAAGATGCGTTAAGAAAATCTCTAGGTATAACACTTTAAAATATGATGTCAACATTCATGTTCCTGGTATATGTTGAAAAGTCAACTGATAGGGTTGCATACTATATATTTGGTAAGCTTTATAAGTAAGAAAACTAAAGAATCAACTTGGCAAAAGCAGCAAGAAATTGCAGAAGTGTAATATCCTGGTGTGTAGGAGTGTATCACTTAGGCCATCGACTGATGTGGGCTGGCAGTGAGATCAGCTGATCTGTTGGGTTTGCGGCTTAGCTTGACTTTGTGACCTGCCTGAAGTAACACTTTACTTACTGGATGTTTTCTTAACTGGGAATCTTTAACAGAAATATAATGTGTAAGCTGAGAGGCCTCACCAGCAAACGGGACAAAGACTTTTTTAATGATTGCTCTTGACAAGTCAGTTTCAGCTTTGAATATTTTCAGAAGTAACCGTAATTTGATATGTTATGAGGTCAGCATGCTACTTGGGCAAATAATTAAAGATCAATCACAAAACAGCAGTCAGATAGTGAAAAATATCATACGTTTTAGGCCAAAACCAACTATTAAGTTCTCATTCTCAATGATAATTAAAGTAACAGATCATCATACCAAAGATATCAAAATTACGTCTACATTTAGACACGATAGTCTAAAATGAGGCCCTGCGTACTATGCGTGATCTCTAAATGAACTGAAAACGCATGTATTAGCGCTCACATTTGCAGTATCAGGAATTAAGAGGAAGATGTTGGTAATAAGCTGCCTGTAGACCTTGTAATATCAAATCAGACAGCAGAAAACAAACCTGCCTCTTTCTCTCTCTCGCTCTCTCACACAGACACACACAGCCGGAGCTCTTTCGCTTTCTGTCTTGCTCTGTTTCCGGCTTCTAACTCTTACCTTAGTTTACCTTGCCTACAAGCCCATTAATAAACTTACTCATTATCTCTGCCCTTCTCTCTCAGCACATTTTGCCTAAGTCAGTGTCTCTCTCCCACAGTCCATAACTTCACCTGTGTGTCCCTCTAACTCTGCCGTACTCACAAACACAAACATGCGTAGCTCTCTACCTACCTTGCATCCAAACATCAGAGATATGGTGTTGTTGGTGCATGCTACTTTGCAGTGGCACAACATGTGGCTAACGTTAGCTAGCTGGTCCCAGACTTGGGGGGCATCCTAGCCTTCATACACACATTTCACACTCACACACCTCCACACACTCACACAGACACATGCACACATGCACACGCATGTGTTCTATCTACCGCGCTCCATCCTGTCCCACAATCCCCCACTCTGCTGCCCTCCCACCCCCTGCCCACCCCCCACCGCCTGACTACGGTCCTCAGCTGTGGCAGGCCAGCGTCCTCTCCCTCACGCTCTTCATCGCTCCCATCATCTTCATCAGTGTAATCCTCATAGCTGGTCAGGATGCAGGGAGCACCATGGTCACTGTCTGCCCGTGTGTCAGCAAATGTATGTATGTGAGTGTGTCAGAAAATGTTAGCACGTGTGTGTGTGTGTGTGTATGTGTGTCTGTGAGTGTGTTTTCAGTATGTTGTTATTGTCAGCATGTGTGGGTCAGTCTGTCTGTGTGTGTGCATGAATGAATGTGTGAGTGCATCTGTGAGTGTGTAAGTATGGATGTGGTCTCTCTTGTCCTCCTCTGCAGCAGCAGTCCCAATCCTCTATCTCCTCTCTCTCTATCAGTGTGAGCAGTGTGAGTGTTTGCCTCTCTCGTTCTAACACTACCCTTCTCTCTCTCTCTCACTCTCTCGCTTTCTCTCTCCTGCTTGCTTTCTTTCGATGTCCCTCTCTCTCCCTCTGCTTGCCTTGTTCACTTTCCCTCGGTTTGCTCCACTGCCTCTCTTGGCCCGCCTTTCAACAGCGAGATCAATGAGCGAAAAGGAAAAGAAAGAAAGACAGAAAAAAAAAGAAAGCAGAGACCTGCTTGCAAAGGTAAACGGAGAATTAAAAATGTGTCTTCTCTCTCCCTGCATTTCTTTTACTCTTTGCGCCTCTCTCACTTTCTACCTGCTGTAGTAATGCTCTGATTTGTACATCCATGCACTCCTATACGCACAGAGTGAGGAAGAGTAAGGAAATGATATAGTATTATCACGGCTAGTGAAAACTGAGCTGATAAAATACTGCACAATAAGGGAAACGTAAAGAGTAAATAAGTGAGGCAGAGACAATGTTATTACATCATCCAGAGTCACAATCCATGATACATACACGCAAAGAAATACCACTGGAATAACTCGTTCATTTGACATTTGAACACAGCGCTGTTGTGCTGGTGGCACTGAGCCATTTGAAACCACAGGTGACAGTGTGATCACGGATCAGAGGGAACACGGTGTAAAAAAGTCATCGGATTTCCCAAAACACTAAAAACAGCTGAAAAATTTTGAATATAAAAAATGAACCTGCCTCTTGCTCACAAAGCAGAGCGCAGGAGCAGGCAAGGTGAAAATTTGGGTCTGACACACAGATGAATCATAAGAATCACAAAATCATATTAAAGTTGTTATATCTAAGTCTGTTATTCTGAAAATAAGTTGGTCTTAACATCATCTTGTTTTGTGGTTTCCTACCTGCAAGCTACCCAGATCGCAGGTAGGGCTTTGGCTGTATCACACTGCCCACACTAATAATGCTACACATTTTTACATGATTAAAAAAAAGGTGTAATCTGATGAAAGTCCAGACATGTCTGAGAGCGAGAGCAGAGTTACAGCCTCCAATGACAATTTAGCTCTTAAAAATGTTCCTGCTAAAGGTGGAAACAACAAACTTGAGGCAAAAACCCACTGGGCGGGTAAAGGTGGGGTTTAAACCACTGGTTAAAAAGCTTGTCCCAATATACAACATCATTCATTTTTATTATTTTCTCATGTTATTATGTTACAGTATTGTGCAGGGTCCTGAAGAGTTACAAGGTTATGCTACTTTAGTTATTGTTGAATTAAAGTGATCACATGACTTCAAGGGAATTCTACTGTTTTGGTCAGCTGACCACCAAAAAGTGCAACTTTCAAACTAGTTAAAATGCTTCAGTTCACTCTGTTGATTCAATCAGACAATGAACAGCACGTAGTAGAAGTGCTGTTCATATGTGTGTGCTGCTCTAGGATGAAAGGTGAAAAACATATCTGTGCATGTCATAGCCGGTTTTAATACAGTGAAATATAGATATTTTTTTAGCTCATAGCATCAATTATTTAATCTTCTACTAACTGCAACAATTGCAAGTGCACATTCATCATTTATGAGCTGTTGTTGCAGTCCATTTTTTGATGACGTCATTCTGCATCGCAACAGCTGAGCAATTTTTACATCTGGACAATCCTGCGGGTTTTTGTAAAAAACCGGTTTGATGGTATTGCTGGTACATCTCCACAATGACAGAGAGGGCTACTGTTATTGTTGGTGTAAACATGAGCAGGTTCCTTGCAAACACACTGTTAGTATGTAGTGGAAACTGAGATCCTTGCAAAACTATCTTACGAATAGAAGTCTTAACTCGAATGAATGAACAAATACGTCTAAAGAACCTATTAAAGTTCTGATTGATTCTGTGACAAAAACAAAGCTACTATCAGCTGCTCCCTTATTTACAAAGAGGCACCACAG